CATGTCACCAGATAGGTTGCCACGACGCGCGATGTTTGCCGAGGCAGGTAGTGGGTGGAATAAAACCTAGGGCGATCAAGATAAGACCTGGTATGAGGGTATGAAAACCCTAATCAGGAGTCTGAGTCACGTTAGTCTCTGTGGATGGAGACCTCGGGATGGTTGTAACCGATGGCTGAGTGTCGTAAACAGTGGAGTTCGTATATCTTGTCAATCTCTCCGCAACATTAGTCCACTGAAATTCCGAATTCTCTCTTTGACTCTATCTTCAACCTTTCTTGTCTTTCTCCTAATGTTCATCCCAATGGGCAGCCAAAGGGCATCAATCAAAACCGGCGCACGATAGTGCACGGTTAATGGTTGTACAAACTGAAACTGAAACTGTTCATAGCTCTACGCCATGTCATGGTCTGACTGCCGCGGCGCTTCTTCCAGCCTTGATCGGCACGAGCAAACAGACCACGGAAAGGTAATCGATGGGCAGGCATATGCAGAATGTGACCAGGCCAATGGAGGCGGTGTAGAGCGATTACGACTAGAGAGTGATTAACCACACCAAACACACGACGACAACCCTCGTCATTGTTCACCCGATGTTCCCACCAGACACGAGCAATGCTTCGGAGACATCAGTGGTCGAATACAGAAAGTCGATTAGCATCCTCAACGAGGAGGGGCCAGGTCTCGCAACTGTGAAGTAGAACGCTACGAACCGCGGCGATGTACACCCTTTCCTTGCTTGGTTAGCGAATGTTCTTTATTAGTTGTTCATCACCCACTGGATAGTAGTATAAGCGCTATTTTTAGATAAAGTCTACCTCAAAGGATGGCCACGATAAGTAAATGATGATTTTGTGAGGCTCAGACGCGATTAAACTCAATAAACTGCACATCTCCATTTCGGGTTATATCATGGACAGGATACCATTCATGCATAACGCTAATACAACATCTGGGGGGGGGAGCAGAGCTGTATACTAACGAGCGCAGGTCTAGGTCGCGGATAGGGCGAACGGCCACGGACGATCAGGTGCAGCGCTCGAGGATGTGATAGCAAGGGTTCTTCACACAAAACACCACACAGCGCGTGGTGACGTGGTGTGTGGCTATGATTAGAGATGCTAAGAATCGAAACCAGTGGGGCGAATTCTGTATGATCCAACTGTTGAAATATCGTGCCTCATCGAGAACGATAAAATAACACAAAAATATCCAAATGTACGGTGAAACTAACATTAAAATTGGTATACTTGCGATCCTAGTTCACTGTAACTATTTCGTCTCCATTTCGCTCTGTTTTATACTCCAATCTTCCGATCCTCCGTCATTATTACTGTTGCGTTGACACTGCTTATTTATAAACCAGTGAATTCACTTCATTTGCTAACATCATACTTGTACATTGACGGGTGAAGTGTAACAATTCCGAACTTTACCTCCCACTTCCATGTTCTTAGTTCTCTTCTAGCGTAACCTTGAGTGTCGCGATGAAATTGGTACTACTTCACAAGTTACAGTTCAGATTAAAAGCCTCCGAAAGCCTCTGAGTATGGTCGGGGGTGGGTGTTGCGGGTTGTGGTCGGTCACCCCTCCCTCGGATTTCATAAAATGTTCCCGTATGACCAAGCGTCCCAAATAGCCTCTGCCTCTGAGGAAGCCCTATTCACTGCCCACGCATGGCGGATGCGTTTTTCTCACCAAAGTGAGAGGACGAAAAGCCACTATCCGGGTCGGCGAACCACCGGTAGTTCACCTAGGGGAGATGGCTAAAAACCCCGATTCCAAACCAACCAAGAAGAGACGTACGAACCACACACACACCTCTGGTTGTGACGCGCGTCACCGGCTCGATTGGGCATTGAGGTGTACTGGCACCTTGAATGTTTGACCTCGTCCGAAGGGTGTATGATTCGATGAACCGTACACCGGCCCCAAATGAATTGCCGACTCTGAGTTCCGTCCTGCTGTCTTGCAGGTCAGGTTTTTTAGCCAAAGGCTTCGGGTGGGGACCCTGAGGTTATCCTCATTCTTCGACCAGGGCAACCGGGCAGTTATATGCCCACACAACTTATGAAACACATTGTACATTTCCGAATTTTTTGCTTTAACTATGCGCTCTTTGACCGAGGTGTTGGCGGTCGGCTCCACAGATTTCCACATTACCATACCAACAGATCACACTCTTTCCCGACCTCAAATATTGAACTTTCCTATTCTCGGTTTACCGCCAATTATTTCGACTCTTCAACAGTGTGTTGCTCAAGACAACGGCAGAAACCATAGTCTTGTTCCCATGCGAAAGAAACAAGCTTCCAATCAGGTTATTCCGAAAAATTACTCGAACCCCGGTCGCAGATGAAGTTAGGGACTTTCAACGTTCGAACACTAATGCAAGTTGGGGCTCAGGCAATACTCGCTCGCACACTAGAAACGCTTGCCATGAACAGTTGCTGCCTTATTGAGACACAGCTACAGGATTCGGGCACCGTACTGCAACTCGCTTCACCTTCTCCGGATTCTGCAAGCTCGTTCACCCTCCGCCTCTCCGGAGATCCGATGGCAGAGGCCGCTGGGGATAGCACTAAGTACACGTGCAGAAGCAGTTTTACTCGACTCGATTCCAATTAATAGTCGACCCTGCGCCATCCGTCTAAAAGGATCGGTGAATGCATCTAGTAGTGGGACAAAAATGCCCCGTCTGCCATCGTGGCTTATGCGCCGACGGACAGCAGTCTCAACACAAAAAGACGAGTTCTACCATTAGCTCACCAACCTCCTCTACAGTAGACGACACACTGAAATCGCGACACTAGCCGGCGACTTGAACGCACAAGTAGGTAGGTTAGACGCGGACGAAACCTCACTTGGTGGCCAGCATAGTCTCGGTGTCAGAAGAACTGAAAACGGTGACCGTCTTCTGCAAATCTGCGCTGAACATGGTCTTTTCCTTTCGAGCACAAATTTTCGCCGACCATGGCGCCAACCTGCTACCTGGCGACCTACATCGTCTGATCAGCTCTGAACTCAAATAGATCACATTGCCATCAGTATCAATGGATAAATTGCATAACGGACTGCAAATCCATCTGGAGCACATATCACAGCTCTGATCATGCACCTGTGTGCGCGAAATTTTCTCTGCGCTTTGGTGGAAAACTGCAACACCACCCGAGGAAACTCGACTTGATGAAACTGACCTACCCAAACGTAGTTACCGCTTACAAAAACACGTTAGCTGCTGATCTAGACAGTCTGCTATTCTCGAACGTTGACAACCAGTGGATTTATCCGTGACGCCATGCATAAGTCCGCCACCACAGCATGTGGCTTCACCAAACGCACAGTCAATCAATGGGTTTCGGCATGTTCTCTCTAACTGCTCGACACTCGTCACAGCATCCCTCCGGGCAATGAATAAAACAGTGTGTATGACTCTCAGTGCTGAACCGAAACGGTTCCTAAAACAGGATCGAGAGACCTGGTGGGCACACTGCGCTTCCGAGTAGTGCTCACAAACTTTTTCCACTAATCCAAGCCACGGGTAACAAAACAATGCGTCAGTGAACCAGATGCGAAATTAATGGCGAATGTATCCAAAATCTACAACGTCGGCTTGGGCGGAGCACTTTCATCAACAATTCAGTTGGCCATCCACATCATCACCTCCATCTCTCGATATCTGTAGTGCTCCATGGTCTGTAGACATATCATGGTCTACGGAGGAAGGAGTCTTACGAGAGGTCAGACTTCTGAAACACCACAAATCGCCCGGTCCAGATGAGTTCCCTCCGGCCCTATTTAAAGACGGTGATGCAAGCTTTGTTCGCGAACTAACTTCCTTATTCCAAACCATCTGGAATACTGAATCCATTCCATCCGAATGGAGTTTGGCGGACGTCGTACCTGTTTTCAAGAAGGGCCCCCGCTACGACTGCTCCAAACACCGAGGGATCAATCTCATCTCTGTTGCATCCAAGCTGCTAACGTCGTTGATCCTTTGCAGGCTCAGTTGAACAAGAGGGTGTCATATCCGCGCAGAACAAGCTGGATTCCGCTCTGACCGGAGCTAAGTTGATCACATATTTGTGTTACGCCAGATCCTCGAGCAACGTCAAACGTTCAGTAGACCGATCATCATTGTGTTTTTGGACATACGTGCTGCGTTCGACTCAGTTGACAGAGCAGCTCTTTGGACTTGTCTGTTAGGAAGCGGTGCCTGAGAAGTATGTAAACCTTCTAAAAGCCGTCTACTCAAACACATCAAGCAGCGTCAAGGTCTATGATCGCATCTCCCCTTCGTTTACCATCACAAACGGAGTTTGACAAGGGTGTCCAGCTTCGCCCTTCCTCTTCAATTTCGCATTAGACAAAATCCTAAGCAACGCTCCTGGTGTGGAGCTTTTCCCAGGTGATCGACTCCGTGACTTGGAATATGCTGACGACAACGTTTAACTCTGCGATTCCTCCTAGGGCGCTCAAAATGTCCTGTGTAAGTTAACATTGCCCGTCACGCAGTTTGGTGTGATATTTTCTCCATCGAAATGCAAGGTTTTACTACAAGACTGATAAGAGGCTACACCTGTCCTCACGCTTATGAACGACCAGTT